CTGCTGAACTCTGTGAGCAGCTAAAAAGCAAAACTGCAGGTCAGGCATGCTCCATCCCTTTTTTGTGAAGGAAGATAAATGGAGACAGTTTGGTAAAAGCTGTGAAATTCATGCTCCAAGGTGAATTCTTAGTGTAAATCAGCTTTTCACCTCCCAGTATATATACATGTTCATTACCTTAAGTGATAAGCCATAAAGTGGAATGAGTATTTGACCCTGTCTCCCACTGTCTCTTTCATAAAGTAATCACGATCTACCTAAAAAAACTAACCAAATTTCCTGCCCCATTACTAGTCCTTTAGAAGGCTGTTGCCTCACTGCTTTAATAGTTGGAAACCACTTCACAGCTCCCAGGTGAAATTTATTCAGGGTAGTTCATACCTATTTTTTTTGTGCCAAAATTGTCACGGAGGAAAACAGTTTCTCTTCCTCATGGTCTCAGAGGAACTATATCGCCTCCAGACCTCGTCTTGTTTGTCTAAATGAAGCAAATGCTAGCTGCCTTATCTTGGAAAGTAGCTGCTTTCCATGATACATTAGCACTAGCTAACTTCTCCTGTGTATCCATTTTCCTGAGCACAGATGACCAGAATTGTACCCACGGTTCTAGATAAAATCCAGAAAAAATAATAGGGCTATCTAAAATGGCATTAATGTCTCCTTGTCTGCCTTGTCTGTCCTGTTCCTGTCTGTCTGTCCCTAGCCAGATATGTTTGTGGGTCACACTTGCCGTTTTACAGCCACAGTCACCGGACAAGTTACAGCTAATCCTATGATTGACTTCTTTCTATGTAGAACACAACATATAGTTATATACGGCATAATAACATAACATTCATATTCCTCCTTTTTTTATTACACCTTGTAATTAAATTTGTTTAATGACAGAGTATTAAAGTTTGCTTCATTCAATATGTATGTCAGTACTGATGGGCATGTTTAGTTCAGAATTATTGTCTAGACTCTCTGGGTGTCTAAGCTGAAATATATTTCATGACACACAAAATCTGCCTACATTGTTTGCTTGTTTCTGGTTTTTACAACAGCTGACAGTGATTCATAATTCCCTCATGACGTGCGATATCACTAAACCTGCTACACCTCAAGTTATTTGAACATATTAAAAGGCCATTTCAAAAATGAAGCAAGTCTACTGACTTCTGTGTAGCTCAACTATCCAGAAATAAGATCTCTCACATGCTTATAAAAAGTGTGAAAAAAAAGAAAAATCTAACAAACACAGAGGTTTGCTCCTATATCAGAGACGAATAACGTAATATTATTCTGAGCTAAACTGACAAGGGTACTCTTGGAAAAAAACTAAGTAGAAGATACATTTTTTATACTGATTTGAAGATACAGACCAATTTGCCATGGATTTTGCTAAAACAAGGATTATGAAGTACGGGCCAAGTTATTCTGGACATATTTGCTGACTTCTCTGGTATGACAACAGCAAGGAATAATTCCAGTAAGTAAATGTGACTGCCTTTAAACTACTGAGAAAAAAATAACCTTATTTTCTCTGACAGCATCCCAGGACCCATATTTACATACAGTGTTCCAAAGCCAAAGACTTCAGTCAGTGGCAAATCAACATACCAATATCTAAAAGATATGTTGTTTTGACATAGGGTAAGAAATTGCATTCTAATTTGTTGCAGTGAATAAACAAAGCAGTGGAATGCATGAAACCAAATGTATCTGTTTCACTGACCTTGAAGCTGGCGTCCTTTGTACAAATCCTTTGTTTTGGTTGGATGAGCTCTGGCACCATTATCACACTTAGGTTGTTCATACCTAAAGAACAAGCCAGGAGAGAATAAAACCAGTCAAGGTTAACTTGATTTAGAACTAATTTATTTCTGATTTTGTAGTCCAAATTAAACTTATACCTTCTTTTATTCAGGGAATAAGCTTGTTTTTCATTCAGAAGGGGCAATGCCAATTCATCTGCCTATTTTCCACTTACCTCAAAGAAGCCAGCACATCTTTATTCTCCTGGGGATGATACCAAACTAAAAAATTATTCTCTGTTCCAAAGCCCGTTCTACATGAAGGAAAACTGAGGAAGGAGAAAACTGTGGGGAATTGCTCTGAAGTAATAAATAATAAAAAATAATTTTGAAAAAAACCACCAAAAACCCCACAAAACCAAAACCAAAGTCAGGCTCTCCTCCCACCTACCAAATCAAAAAAGCCATAAACAATATGACAAATTCTGACATCTGTCACAGCATTCATGTTGGGAAACACCAGAGCAGCAATTTCAAAATCACAGCAAGGCAGGAACTGTAGTTACTAGTGCAGCTCTAAAGCTGTGTGCTACTGTATCCTCTCCAAAAAAAATGTTAGTTTACATAAGAAGGGCTAACCAAGAGCAGCTAACATTTTGAACAAGAGTGAAGAATTGGAAGCGTTTCCAGAAGGAAAGGAATTGGTCTGGAACACCTTGAAATGGATTGGGAAAAAGATTGAATCTCCACCTGCTACTGGAATATTCTGGCTGCTCTATGCTTTCTGAGGTTACTTAAAGCCACTTTGTTAGTCCAGCTGGTAAGAAGAAAATGTGATATTTGTACTTCTAATAAACATTGACTTATGCAACACTACCTTCAATATCTTTCATGCAAGACTGGGAGGCATGGGAGAATCTGCTGCTGAATCTGTTCTTTTTTCTTACAACCCCACTATCGATGCATAGTGGCTTTTCACTCAGCTTGACATAATCTCTTTCTGAGAAATTTTACTTTCTTATTCTCCTAAAGTAGCTGAAGCTTCAGAATTTAGTGTGTAGCATTTCAGAGAAATTTTCAATTCTCAGCTAAAAACTTAGTAATATGACTCTGCCCACATACACGCATTTGCAGATACATACCTGTTCACCGAATCTAGGTTCTTTCATATTTTATATAACTGCTCATCTTTCTTTGAAATTCTCCTATTCTAGAGTTCCCCAAAATTATGTTTACTGACTAGCATACTAAAATGTCTAAGTAAAATATATTAATTCAAATTTTTGGAGTAAAATATTCTTTTTAAAAGCATTAAATGGTAGCTATGTCTTGGGTTCAGGCCAGACTGTCCCTAAGAAAAATACCTAAGTATTCTGACCTTAATTACCAAGCAGAATGAAAAAAAATAAAAGGATTTTTTCATTTGGGTGCTTAATTTATTTCCACATCATCTAATGAAACTGCTCACTGGCCCATCAAATTTTGGCTGCTGCAAAAAGGTACAGTGTTGTTTCATGGATATGGGAGAGCTACAGGCACTTTTCCCCTTAGATAATGGCCGGAACAGAAGCTGCTTTGATAGCGTGGGTTGGATTCAGTACCTGATGGATGACCACTTCAATCAGCCAGCAAAAGAGTGAAAGGGAAATCTCTGAGCAATACTCACTAATGCAGTATCTGGCAACCAGCCTGGTCCCCGATTAATCTGATACCTGACTCTGCACCCCCTCATCCTCTTCTGTTATTGTTGCTGTTCTGTGCCTACAGTTTCTTTTTTGGCCTCTACTTTTCTACCTTTTTGGCTTACATTTTTCTTATATACACATGTAGTTCATCATGTACAAACTAAATCTATTAAATAAGCCCAATAGGTGTTAAAATGCTGTAATGTGAAAAGTCCATGTTTAGCACTTTAAAGCAACTGAAGACAAAATGAATCATTAGAAATATACCACAGGCACAGAGGCACAGCCACACTAAGAACTGATACGAAAAACACACTTGCCTCAATTTTCATGGAGAAAGAGTGGGAAAGGGATAGCATGACAGAATGGAGCACTGTCAGGTTAAAAATAATGTAGTCAAAAGACATCCCAAGTTACTCTTTTGAATTTTAGAAGGGAAAGAATTCCTAGCAGTGAATGCATATCTAAAGTTCTCAAGAGCTTATGAAGGCTGCTTTATACCTCTGAGCAGTCTGCTGGGAAGCACTGAGATTTACTGAGGTGCACAAATCAGCAGAGGATAGAGAGTTTCACAGGCATTCTACAGCATGTGCAGCTTCATGAAGCAGCTGATTTATGTTCTTTTTTAAGTTTAGAGACTCTTGTGCAAGTGGATTGGGCATTACTTTGCCCATGATCCTAGTTGCTAAAAAGTTGCACATGAAAGCACGGACTTATGACCCTGCTGAGCAAAAAGACTGAGGGTCACGCTGTGTTGTCCAGGAGGCATTGGGAGCCAGCTAGTAAAGACCGTATCGATAGACTCGCAGGGGAATGGTTTTGTACCCTTTAAATACATTACTTCCTTTTAGTCAAATGGATGTTTCCTCTAGACTTTCATAAAAGCCAGCTTTATAACACAACTTTGACTATTTCTTGTGAGTTTTACTGACTTAAATGTCCTAGAGTGGTGCTTCATTCACATATCTTCATTTTAACTCTAGAATTACATGTTTTTTTCTAGAATACCTTCACTGACAAATGATTTATCTTTGCTTCAGATGATAGGACATGAGAAGATGAATGAGTATTAATAGCTTCCCTTCCTTTTGGGTGTCTAATTTAATGGGACTACTATTTATTGTGGTATTCAGAGCCTGATGATATGACAAATTTCATCTTCATGAATGTATTCTAAACAACATGCAACAGCTTCCCAGATCTGTCTATCCTTTCACTGTTGTCCCCTAGTGATTCGATCCAGATTTGCAGAACAGAGATTCCAGGATGCAATGCATGCATCTTGCTACCAGAAGTACTAATGCTATCGGTTCCTGCAGTAGAGTTTTAACAGCTACTGTTCTAATTTGTATTTTGCAATGGAAAGCTGGAAGATACCATACACTAGAGGAAGAGCAGAAAAGGGAGCTTCTGGCATCTCTAGAGGACATCTCTAGGTCCTCACACAACATGTGTACTGATCCTACAGTTTCAGGACCAAATCTGGTCTATTTTTTTTTTGACAGTTTATGGATTTCAACTTACCAGAAACAGCAGATCACCAGTAACTTTAAGTCATGCTCACTTCAGCTGATACTGTAATTGGCATGGTCTGGACTATGGTATAAACAGCTATCAGTAAATCAGTACTTGAAGAATATGTGAAAAACACTCCCGAAGAACAAAATATTTTACAGCAAGTGGCTTATAATGTTTTTTCACAAACCTTATGCAAATGATAAAAAATTATTTTGGCTTCAGCTTGAAAAGATTTATGATTGCATCAAGATACCCATACTGCCTGTCAGCTTTATATGAGCTCCTATAGCATTCCTTCAAGGGCCAAACCTCAATAACCAGCCTAAATAACGTCTTTTGGAACCTGATACTTGCCTTGCCTACATCTGTTCTATGTGGCTAACAACACTTTACCATGTATCCGGCTCAGCTGTGACGACTGAACTCCAAGCTTCTATTAATAACACACTAAAATGATATTTCCTCTCCATGGGTTCCCAAGCAGTTGTTCCATCAAAGCCAGTCATATGAAATAGCTGAGGAGGTTGCTGGAAAAATAACTGAACATTTCTGAGGTTCGATGTGGTTTCTGACATAGACCATCTTACTTGGTTCTTCTATATTCAGGCTAAGTAGTGTGAGGTTTTCTCTGGGCTTATTCATTATCTGCCCCAAGCCTTGGCTTCCCAGAACAAAATAGAAAATAAAACAGAGGACTGGGGGAGCAAGGTGCCTGTGACATTGCAGTGAAACAGTCTTTGGCCATCTGGCCTGAACTTTTGATAGTTCTTAGAAATATTTCACTTCATCTTCATAGTGGAAGAAATCTACTATGAAGTGGAAGAAATTCCACCGGCAATAGAAATCTACATGCTAGCATGTGCACACTAAGGCATCTTCTCGCTACAGCTTTTGAGCACTATACATGCATTCCCTTACCTCGTTGATGTACCAGGGATGGGACGTCCTGTATCCACCAGAACACACCAGCAGTAGCCCGTGGAAGGATGGCACTGCACTGGTTTGTAGAGGCCGCCCTGAGCACACTCTGGAATGAACACATTGTCTTTCTGGGGCTGTTTAGCTTCCTCCAGGGCTGACTGAAGTTCTTGATCACATGATGATGCTTTTGGAAGGAAAAGAAAAAATACTGAAGAAGCTATATGGAAAGGGCCTACTCGATTTATCAAATAGTTTTTATATCTTTCTTTGATTGCATATAAGGATTGTATTGGAAGAGGCTTGCTATAGCTCAAATACCAGCTAGATTGGTTTATGCTGTATACTGTCAGGAACTTTAGTTTCCTTTTCATGCAGCTGCTTCATAATACAATCCTAGTAATATCTTGACACCCCCTTTCCTATACTAGATATAATCTATGGATAACCAAATACTTTCTCTGCAACCTTAAAAAAATTCTTGCCCACTCCACTGTCCCAAAATTACTCATTCTTTTCAGAGGGAACAGTAAAAATCCAAATTCTTAGGATTCCTTAGATGAATTATTCATCTAGATTTCATTTAGATGTTTATATTCTGCCCTTTCTTTCCAGTTTTGGAACAACCTCTTAATACAGTGAAAATTCTTCCACCTTCTTTTCTGGTGATTCTGGTATTGGTGAGGTATCATTTGCTCTGGAGACTAAAGACCCACCAGGAAAAGTAATACATTTTTATCTCTGTATTAACAATATGTCCCAGATATCTTCTGGATGTGAGAAAAGCTTACATGTCTACACATTCCTAGCTTTTACGTGAAACTATGAACCAGGGGGCAAAGAGCAGAAACCCCAAGTCCTGAGAATGCCAGTCAGTTCACACCAATCCATAAGAAAACACCTCTGCTGAGGATTTTTGATCACTGCTAAGCTGGTATATGTGGCCCCACAGAGATAATAAATGAGACAGACTATTTACTCAAGCTATTATTTCTCCAGGAAATTTAAAGTCTGTCTCCTACCATGTGAAATTTAGATCAATAAACCAGCTTCTGTATAATTCTCAAACTAATCCAGTGAACAAAAATTAAATATTTGAAAAACAAGTTTGATGATAATAATAAACATTCTACAAACACAGAAATTACTGACAGGAAAATGTCAAGTTACTAGAATTTCAATCAATAAAAAATTCTCCTCAGTTAAAGAAAAGTCATTTTAATGTTACAAAAAAAAATCTGTGGTTAATATTGTTATTCTTTTAATTGATTAAAGACTAGTGACACACTTATTCTCTGAATCTCTAGCAGGATTAACTTTTTGATTTTTCACAGTTCAACCCATAGAAGAACAATTTGAATCCTGACTGGATTTCCTAGTGCATTTGTAATGAGTTTCAGCTTCAGTCTAATCTCATTTACTCTTACCCAGAGCATTCAGAAAATGCTTTGCAAATTGTGGGCAAAAACTGACAGAACGTCACTAGTTATGTCCAGAATGCTACTGCTCCTTGCCAGCTTCTTGCAAATGCAGATGATCAAAATCAGGAGGACTTCTGGTGCAGGGGAACAGCTGGCAGGAAGTTAAACACCTTCATCCTTCATCCTTTAAACAGCACACAATTCCGCCTATACAACAGCCTGGTTTCCAAAACAGTGTCTTTTCTTCCAATCCACATAGAAGGTTTTAAAAGCGAGCATATCACTGACTAACTTGATTACAAGGCACAGATGGAGTGTTTTTTCAGTTCTTTGGTTGATTTTGTTTGTTTGTTTGTTTCATATGGTAATTGAGCAGGACAGCCAGCTAAATTGATTGATTTTGTGTGGGTTTGTCTTGGTCTACCCACTGACATGATCAGAGATTGAACAGCTCTGAAAGCACCAGTGTTTAGATAATAAACTGCACTTAGAGAATCAATGTAGTGAGGACAGAAAGGTTCCTTTAAAAAAGGGAAATAGCTCATTATTTCCACGTTAAAGCCTTCACAGAAATAGCACTGGCTTCACAAATTAGAAATCCATCACCAATCCTCTCAGAGTAGCCAAAACAAATCTTTCTCTCAGTGAATCTGAATTATGATGATTATCAAGTTACAAAGTATGACAACCCTGGAAAACGTATCACTTAGCTTAGTTGTTCACTTTTTATGTTTTGTACATAATCAAGGAAAAAGGAGCAAATGGGGTGAAGCAGCTGCAGTGAGAGGGAGGAAATCATTACTCCTCTTTAAATTCCTCAAACTTCTTTTCGCATTCATAAACCTTGGGACCATTGCATTAGCTACTGTGAGAGGTCACATCCTTGTAACTAGCAACATACTCTGGCAGATGTGCAGGTATTACTCTCCCTCGCAAACCCAGAGAAGCGATACATGTTCATGCTCTCTGCCTTCTTTAGAACATACATTGGTGTATAGAGAGTACATAGTCAGGTCACCCAGACAGACAAAATGTAACAGCACACAGAGGGTGCGAGGGAGAATTCCCAGCGTGGAAGCAGATACGGGCTGTTTCAGCTGTGAGTGTAAGCTACATCACCTGATTTCTGGGCAGCTCTATTTTCCACTGATTGAAACAAGCAGCAAAGGACTGCACTGCTGGCTCAAAACCACTGAAGTCATGGGCCAGTGCTGTCACTTGCGTTGCGCTGATTTAGGAGCAGGTGTTAGAGACCTAAAAAAATGGTTCTTACTCTCCTGAGTGACTTGCCAAGGTGAGGTTTTCTACAAGCTGCTGTTCCAGCTAGAAGTTTGTCTTTTGTGCAGGTTTGCTCTGGTCCTTTTTCTCCCTTACGTCTGGTTTTAAGTCTCAGAGGTACAGAGAAGCAGCATTATGGGAGAGATGTCAAAGGAGGGTTGCAAATGTGGCTTATGGCTTTAGGAGGGACAGTCAGAAGATTGATCGAACTTAACATTGGAAGTGAGAGTTGAAACAGAACAGCCAGTGACAGTAATCAAAGGAAGGCTTAAAGATAAAAAGGAATGTTCTTAATGTCAAAAGTATGAAAAATAGACAGAAACCCCAAGATTCATACCAAATTCTAAGGTAAAACTTCTGTAACTGGGAGGACTTTAGTGGTGAAAAAAGATGCCTTTGAAGAGTAAGCATCAGCACAGGCATTCAAGACAAAAAAAACCATAGATAAAAGAAACTATTATATTTCAGGAAGGACTTTCCTCTTCTTGGAACCTTTAATTTCTTACTCTTCCCCTACAGATGGGAAATTGTAAGAAGAGAGGACGTTATTATTAGTTGTAGATTAGTCAGATAAAATGTAGATTATTTTTGACAAATTGGAAAAAAAAATAAATCAGTGTGGTGGACATTATATCGCTCAGTCCTCTATGTACCAAATGGTTGAGCCTATCACATATCTACTGAAACCACTTCATTCATTTTATTCACCTAAAGCACAGAATAGTTTATTATTTCCCTTCCTTACACAAAGGCTAATGAGCTACCGGGCAATATGCTTAGTGACTGCCCAAAAGAGTTATTTCTGCAGAGTCCAATGCTTTTGTACACTTCTGACATGACCATTTGTGCCACCATTACTACTTCCTTGCTTTCCCCACTAGAACACTGTTCCTACATAAAGTAAATGAAAACTGCTTTAAAGTATTTACCTATAATCCTGCCTGCTTTTCCCAGAACAAGAATATTAGTTCCCTGTGTAATTTCCTCTATGAGGGAACCATTCATTCCCTTTCAACCTTTTTTTCTTTCAATTATTTACAACAGGAGCACTGGAAGGATGAAACTGTAGCCTGTGATGACAAAGAGCTCTTATCACAGATCTACCATACTGCTGCAAATAATTGCCTTTGTAATGTCAGAAGAGTCATGGTTAACAAACATTCATTTGCAGGAGGACCAGTGATAAATGTCATTAACTTAGAAAATGCATGACAGTTTGTCCAAACAATCTGACAACAACTATGATCTGGAACCATAACAGATGGATGCCAGAAGTTCATAAAGTGAACAGTATGGAAAAAGATCTATGCCACAATAAAAGTAGGATATATACCTTAATAATTAAAATACATCAAACTTCCTATGGAATTTGTTACTACAATAACATTCCTTCTGCGAAGAGAAAAGCACTGACACTCCAGCTTCATCTTTTCAGGGAATGTGCTTATACTGTTGTTCTTTCGACTAGTCCTTCAGCTTTGTCTTGCTGGGAAAAAAGATGCTTGGAAAATAATTAGATGCTTAGTTCAATAAAGTAGACATGGCTGAAGAATCCTTTCCATGTAGTCTACCATGTTAGCCAGCCACACTGTAACTTAGTTGGGATCCTTCATTTCAGACTGAAAAAGCTTCCTGCAGTTTCTACCCAAAATTATACTTTATTACAGGTTCATAAGCGCTAAGGATTCAACACACAAATTTCAGTCATGTAAGGAAATAGATATGTTTTGCCCAGTTTTAAATGAGCCTTGGACCACCCAATGACCATCTACTTACTCTGAAAAAGGAATTTTTGAATGAGAATGAGTTTAAAAACATGCTTTGAATGTAATGTTGTTCTTCTTATGTCATATTATATTCAATTTCTTCCCTTTTTAATTTAAATATTAGTTACTAAATATACTTCTCCTGTTCTGGTTCACGATGCCTTCATAGTCCATTACAAATAACCAGCTGAAACACTGCAACTTCTGTTAATGCAAAAGATATTCCAGCTAATGGCAAACTCTGTGGATAAGTTTCCGTTTTGTATAAAATCTTGAGTCAGTTCTTGTTGCTAATGATGAATTCTCCTTAAAAAATTCTGCATTTCAATGAATTGTTAATTTACCTGAAAAAACAATACCTCAATAGTAGTAGGGTGCAACACATTATAAAGTTTTATATCATATGTATAATTTATTTATTCTAAATAAAACCTTATTTATGAAAGAATCATCTCTGATGGATTACTTAAACTGTTAATTAATGTTTACTAGGGGCTGTCCTGGAGGAGAAAAGAGGTGGCTTTTCTGGAAAAGTCATCCTGAACAAACTGCAACTGTGCCTCTCTCTGTCGCATATCTAAAACACCAAGCGCCGTATTATGTCAGTTACGATAATCATCTTGTTAGTCTTGTAACAGGAGATTGTTTACCCCCTTGTTTCAGAAATTCTGGCAGTTGTTGTGCTGTGTCTTACCACAACTTCTCCCAAAACGTGGAATTTT